GCTTGTTGCAATAATGCAGGACGATGGTAGCATGCTTGTCACGCCAAACCAAAGAGCCAGACCAGTCGGTTGCGGGCCCCATGACCTTGCTTGGCTATTATGTGCAGGTCTCTGCGGTGTGCAGACGACGCAAAATCCAGAAAAAGCCTCGAAGTCTTGGGATCATTAGTGCCCCATTTGCGGAACTTTTCCATGAAACTGTCGTTGAGATACCGCCCGAAAGCCGTAGGTCATGCTGGCTAAATTCTGGGAGAAACAGGGGCGTGTTCATATGTGAGACGGACGGCATGGGGCACCAGTTAAAAGCAAGAAACGCAGGCTTTCGGGAAACCGAAATTTTATGTGCCTTGAACTCCCTGTTTCGGCCCGTTCGACCAATCCCTTGCCGATACAACCACAAGGGAATGGCAAAAAAAATGAAGCAAAACGCAGGTTCCGAAATATCTTCGTAGATGTGCGAGACCCGCATAGGAAAAATTTTCTGATTCGTTCCCAGCTACAGAACGCTTCCCTTAACCGGCTAGGTTGACCCGTCTCGAGAGCTTGGGTCGGCAGCTTTCGGAGAAGTGGAATATCAATCATTGCTTGCCTTCCAGAAGACGATTCGGCAAATGGGCAGCGAAATCCCTCAAAAAAAAATCCCAACCCGAGTGCTTCGTTTGACCAGTTTTTTCTTCTCCCGCATGGGTCGGCCACGGGTAGCCGTGTTTGGCCAATAACCAAGCTTCACATGAAATAGAACTTGCGATAAGGATAGGATAAAATCAACAGCTTGGTGGGCTGATTGCGGAGTTTTCGTCCACTCCGTCTTATATCTTTACCCCAGCGCCATCCGAGAGGCGAACGGGGTAGTATGCACGTAAAACTGGGGAAGAGGCAAATTTGAACGAGTAATGTCAAGTCTTGTGCGTAAAGATAGCAATACAATCGAAAGACCAGACTGCAAATTCTGAACTGGAGCAGATACAATTGATGAACCCCGTGGAGATCCACACCCTCTCACATAATTCGTAGAGGTTGAAAGATCGGGGGAAATAATGGTTTAATCACTTACTGCAGACATGCTGTATACTGGCCTAGGGGTTTTCACTCCGGATGCTTCCAATCGTGGGGTATTCGCGTTGGAACCAGGAGCTGACAACGATCCAGTAGGTTTTGTAGCTTCCGCCATCTTTTCTGAGATCAGGGCAGTATTTATAATGTGGTTTCTAACGGTTGTCTTCCTTGTTACCGGGAATTTAAGCCTCGGAAAGTTCCTGTCGTGCGTACGAGGGCTTGTAGACTGGGGATCGAGGGTTAGACGGTAGCGAACAGGCACAAGCTATGCAATGGCCTGATTGTAATTCGACAGCCTTTCTTTTGCAATGCAACGTAATCGAAGCGAACGGCAAGCGGTCAGTTGATCAGTCGAGTCTCAGATGCACAATTTGGTAATAGAAACCTGGGGTAGATGAGCAGAGGAGGGGGAAGGTAGTAAAATATAAAGTATTTGGTGTGTGCGGTACAAGCTAGAGCTTAAGCTTCAAGATCCAATGCCCGGCCAGAACAGGTAAGAAACCTTTCGATTTCAGTGTGTGTTGCCCTATCCTTTCTCCACGGTTTCAATACTCCACAGACCGGGTGTATCTATCGGCCTCCTCAGGGATCTATGTCTTGAAGTCCAACAACTAACGGAATTAGAGTGTTCGCGTGATCATCGGGTGCTCAACCCGGGGTTCAGGAATTAGTTCCTCTTCGCAAGAGAGTGCCGATATCAGAAGGCGGTCCCGGGATTCATTCTAGCTCAAAGGACTTCGCCGTAGGTTGTTGGTGTGATGTAGCACGGACCGGAAGCGGTGGTGGTAGTGGGAACTGGCCGATCTGTTGCTTCAAGCCGGGCTTTGGCGAACAATTGCGCTTGTTCCATTGGCGGCCTTTTCGGACATCCCCACGCTATCATCACCTTGGAAATATGCGCCGCGACGTCACGTATAAAATCCAATCACGGAATGAATAAGAATGGTGTTTTATAAATAAGAATTAACCTTAATTCTGCGCTGGTCGTGACCAATATCGTTGACAGATTGAGCCCACATGGTGATCCAGGTCTACCACGAGGAAATTATCCGATTGCTTGCCCCCCACAAAATGGTCAGGGACCGCGAATTTCTGGAGAGACAGGCGAACTGAAGGTGGCCCAAGTGTCCGACGGGAAGGTTTCCGGATGAGGCATCAAAGCCAGGCTTCCGAGATCTAGAGATCTAATAGTTCTCTTTTCGTCTATGGGGGGCATAAAGCTTGAGTTCTTGTTCTTGCAGTTCGGCCGAGCTCCAGAACGTGCATGCCACAGAGCCAGAGGCAAATGGGTATGCCCGAGACGTCCACCCCGGAGCCAGAGGTTAGAGGTCAGATGTTGAATGTTGAAGATGATGCATAATACCAATTGCAAGATGATGAGCGCATGAGCTCAGAGGAAAGCAATACAATGCAACTTGCAGCCATGATAGGTGATAAGTGCGGTGAATGTGGTTCTGAAGTCTCGTGTGTTGGCCAGGACGTCGGGTCGCACAGGCCGGGATAATATAACGCGGCAACGCACCTTCTGCAGCATTTCAAATGAGACTTCGACCAGTCTAGAAGTCGACTCTTGACCACGGGACGATGAAAATTTTAAAATCAATTATTCAGAAAATTTCGTAACTAGGCCTGATTGCTCTTCTTCCTCTTTTGATACTTCTTACTCGGTTAGTTATGTCAGTTTATCAGTTGTTTGATGTATTGTTGCAATGTGATTTCTACAGTTCTGGTCTCAGCTTTGGTGGACAGTGCATAAACCAATTAAAATATGCCAGGCTTGCAAATCTTCATGGCCACATTATATGGATTCGAATATTCTTCCCTCCTAAAAATAATTTATTCAAGTATAAACCCGTGTTAAGATTTTGGCGTGTATCATAGCTAAGTTGTTTAGGTTATACGACAATCAAGTCAAGTGAACGGTGACTTAAGTGACTGAGAAGTCATTGGATTATCGCTGATCATGGCTATGGCGCTCTCATGGGAACATGCATCGACTGACAAATCTACTTAGGACGAACTTGACGCTAAAGTTCTTAGGGGAGAAATTTCTACAAAACCATTCGAGCTATAGAGGCGATTAATTAAATGTTATATTAGCTATAATGTCTTGATCTACCATGGAATTTAGCGGACGATCGAGATGGGATAATCCTCAGTACACTCTATTGAGCTATTGAAAGATCTAATATAGGTTGGTTTGCATAGCACCTCCTTTTGTGTCGCCTAGCCCTAGGCCGGAAGGGACTTATCTCGTCGCTGGATTCCTCAACAGCTGTGTTAATATGTTGACTTAAGCTAGGGGCCATATGGTTTATAATTTAATTGTGAATACGTACATACATACATATGCATGTACATACCAAGTTCGCCATTTTCTATATAGTAAACTATCGATATATATATCTCATGCATGGTCGATGAGGATCTTGATCTATGCATGTGTATACATTAATATTACTACAGCCACTGCTAGCCTCGAATCCAGGCGACTTAATGCATCATAATCTATACGCATGCATAGTATGTATGGCGGCTCGAGCCAATAATCATGCTCAAAGTACCTTATTACAACGACTGGTCTACGGGTCAGCAAACCCAGCGGATTCGTCGTTTAAACACTCTGATACATATCCAACCTATACATTATTAAAATTAATTAATTAAACTACACCTCTACTACTTCTTCTCACTAAAGTATGTAACACCTACCGTACACCGTTTCCCACCTTCTTCCCACGAAATACCATACGTTCTACTCCAGTGTGAACTCGGATACTTCTTACAATTATTCACAAAACTAACATATCTCAGCAACCTCAGCCCTCCAACCTCCCCCCACGTAGTAATCGACTCCTCAGCTTGTTTGAAATCCGTAGCTACCCCCGTTTTGTCTGAGCTCGATCCACCGCCTATTGACGGCCAGGGTATAACTGCCGTTTCCAAACTTTTGAACCCCATGAGTTCACTGTAGATGACTTCATCTTGTTGGTAGGCGTGACCGTTCCCGCCGTTTGGAATGTTCCACTCTGTCAGAAGTTCTCCGTCGATTCTTAAATGTGAAACATTTGGACATCTCCAGGCTAGTTCTACGATATTTTGCCTTGTGACTCCGGTTTTGACTGACATGACGAGTTTTTTGACGAATGGATATATCAACCCGGATTTGAAGATTGGTTCTGGAGGTACGGTCGGTGTATTTTCGTTATTGGCGCTTCCTTCCCCTCCTTCATTTTCGTCGTCGCTACTTTCACTATCGACGCCTTCTTCTTCTGAGCTTGAGCTTGTGCCGTCCTCGCCCTCGACTTCACTTTCGCTTCCACCGCCGATAATCCCTTCGCCCTCTTCACCCCCCTCTTCAAAAGGTGTCCCTACAAATGTATCTGTATGAACATCCAAAGTATTCAATAGCACTACATCCTCCCTACCCATTCCCCACCTTCCCCCTACCGCCGCTGCCTCTCCGAATCCAAACCTTTTAACCTCCATATACGTGGTCTGAAATCCCGGTGCAAAGCAGCTACACCCGCCACCATGGCCTTCTTCCTTACAACTCGAAGCTTTAATATACCTCTCCGGAACCCCCCTCGCTAGTTCTTTCGGCTGCCTGAACACCCTAATGCCCCCGAAATGCCAAGAAACCGAGACCTGTTCTTTGTGTCTAAATTCACTCCCAGTGATGGATTTATATCTTTCCAAACCGAAAAGGTTGAGCTTCGGCCAGAAGTCGTATGTTACCAGGCGTTCTAGAATCCCGTTTATTAGTGCTTCACGGTAGGCGTCCGCGTCTGTGTCTTTACAGTCTATGGGAAGCTCCCAGCAGATCCAGAGACGGTCGATGTTTGGGAAGTATTTTATTGTTTCGACGTATTCGTAGATTTTTGTGAGTTGAAGAGGGGAGGTGACGTTTGTGTAGTCGTAGGAGATGGGGGGTTTTAGAACTACATAGCTATTGTTTTTTTAAAAAAAATTTTTTTTGCAGGTTAGCATTGTATGTTATATTTACTGATATTATGCATATTCGTGGATTTATGCCTCAAGTCTCGAGATTTCTTATAGCCATATAACGAATAGATAATCGATATCGGAATACCATTGACAGGGGGGATTCGACTTTAAAACATGACAGCCCCCCTTGTTTCGATTCATAGCTCCGCGAATCAATCCGAGCTATAATTTAAGAGCAATAACAATAGATAGAAAATAGAACCACCAGCTTACCTAAAATACGAATGCAAATGCCTCAAACTCGACAATCCCGGAAACGGCTTAAGCACCCCTTCCTTCTTATCCAACGTCAGCGACTCAGGCAGATGCCCAAACACATCCCTGGAAAGTAAATTCCGACTGGCCCTACAACAACTCGACAATTTCGCCAGATCCGAACGGTCCAAATACGACATTATTTCGTTAAAAAGCTCCATCGGTAGCTCGAATAATACACCGGGACTGTTCGGCGAGCGCGTGCCGGTTAACAACATTGTTATCCCGGACTTCGTTGCCGCCATTTTCCAGAATTGTTGCACCCGACGGATGGCCGGGTTCTTGACTAGGAAGCGAGGCGATTTTGATGATGATGATGACTGTTGTTGTAGATTGTCTGAACCGGTATTTTCAGCAACGGTTGTCCGTGCCCTCGACGAGGACGACGAGGCCCGGGGAAAACAGCAATTGCAGAGATTACGGATATGCCAGTTTCCTCTCATCGATTCTCTGCTGTCCTGCAGGTCCCGTGTTTGAAGTTAAGATAGACCTCTTTAACCATAGAATAACATATGATTAAAACCCGATATATGAGCTGAAGAGCGGGGGGACATATGATATGATCTGGTCTGCTCCGTGCGCTCTGTTTGGTGAGAATCGTCGATCGTTGAATGCCGTTTGATGGTCAAGATGTCTCTGAGAATTAATTTGGGGAACTATTTTGATCCTTCATGTGTTCCCCGTCACGACTTTAATACACCGGTTGCATGCAGCTCCTGCAGCTCTGCTTAGCTGTGTAATACTTGCATACCACAACACGTCGACTTATGACGAGCGTTTAAACCGCAAAACCCGGCTCGTTGCATTTATGCTGGGTGGCTGGAATATGCAAGGCTGATGGATGGTTGAGGGCTTCCTTACTTAATCCATCTGCGCTAACGTTACGGGTAGCTAGTGAGTCACGGCTGTGCTTTTTGAATTCTAGGACAAGGATTCTGATTTTTATACAAATCCGAGGCGGCATCAATCTAAATTTCAAGGGGAAAGAAACTAAGTAATTAATTGACAATCAAATTGATTGAGGAAACAAGTAGCCCAAAAATCCCGCGACGCCTGGTATATATAATGAATTGCTCATACAAGTCTCAGAAAGCAGTCGCCGTCACCCGCAGTCATCATACAGAAATGCATGAAAACTAAGCCAAGAATGAAAAGGAAAATAAACAAAAGAGCTAAACTGAAAGTTGATCGAAAACATAAGATCTAATTACCGCCAGCTTCCCGTATTCGCTGTTGGGGAGCCCCATCGATCTGTACCAAACCCTCTTCGTAGCCCTAAATCAACGGGCTCTTCTTTCGCCTCCATTCCTTTATTCCCTGCTAATCGACTTGCGCAGCCATAATGTACCACATGTCCGTCGGGGAAGACGCTGATAACACTCTTGCCTAGACGCTTGTGACACACAGGGCATACTCTTTCTTCTCCGATCACTACCGCTTTCTTTTTTGCTTCGGCGTTCAACTCCTCCCATCTAAATGCTTCGGATTTATAGAGTTGTGCCATCACCCTATTCATGTTGACTCGAGAATTTGAGTGCCTAATGCGGTTCTCAAAGTAATTCCCTAGATCTGCTACTTTGATTGATTCTGGTATGAGTCTTAATGACTCTAACGGGTCCACGCGGGCGCCATGGCGGGATAATAGATCAAGCGCCGGTGGCATTTGAACTTCATAGTTTGGTGGTGGACTGAGATAGAGAGAGAGGAGAATTGAGTAAACAGTCTCCGTGGAGGTTTCAGCGGGATCAGAGGGAGGTGGAGAGAGTTGGTGTATTCGGTTGCAATATCTACTAATTGTTAGGATTTTGAATGTTTTCAATACGAATTTGATCTGCAGTACTTACGCTTCCGCTTTGCTAAAGTCCTGCATCCTGAATACGAATATTTCGAGTGCCTGTCGGTGCTCGCCAAGTCTGCTTAGGATTGAAGCCCTGATTTCATAGAATGTCGGATCTTAGGGGAGTTAGTATAGGTGAACAATTCTCGAAGTGAAGATTCTAAACGCACCATCTTTGGGTAACCATCGTATGACCTTCTCTGGCCAATATTGATGGCTGTCTTCTGTGAACTTCAACACCTTTTGTCCGTACTCCTCTCTTTCTTGGCTGCCGAGCTTCCAATGCCAGCCATCTTCTTCTGGCTCCTTCTGTTCCTTCATCATCATAAGATAGCCTTCTATTAACCAGTTATGGTAGTCTGGCGAATCATCCTTAAGCTCATGAACTAAATGTTCTGCATATTCAACACCGAGTTTTACATCTATAGACTTTAAGAAATCCAAGACTTTATCCCTAGGTAGAGATTCCACCTGTGGGGTATCATCTACAAATACCTCCATACCGAGCTTCGGGTCTTTGTGTAAAACCCATGTAGAGTATTCGAATATCAGAGGAAGCTGGTCAGCATGCAGCTTCTGCAGGTATGTGACTGTGGCCTGTGGTCCATGTAGGTCTGGCTCCCTGTCATCTGGTTCTTCTCGGTCGCCAAAACTACAGGATATGTTAGCCTCTCCGCCCGATGGCAACAAAAGAGAAATCGCAATACCTCTTCAGCAGGACCAGCGCTTTGTCGTGCAATTTCTTGTTCGCTAAGTAATCCACAAGTTCCTTAAACCGTCCTGTTTCGACCAGTTTCTCATGTACTACTTCAGGGTCGCAAAAGTTTTCAACTCGGACCAACGGTCCTACTAAGCTCGAATTCGTAAACATATACGACCTTAATAGAGTAGTATCGATCAATTTGGCCATTTCTCTAAGATTTTCAAGTTGCTCTTTAACAGTCATCTCGCCGCCATGCCGAGATGGAGGGAGTAAGGCTGCCACCTCACTAAAATCGATAGCAGCGGTTTTGGATGAGGCATCGCCGAACGTAGGGACGGTTTCGGGGCCCGGCTCAACAGCTGGCTCGCCAAGGGCATCCGATTCCATATCTGGTTTCACATATTTGAGAAGTTTGCGGCGCATTTCAACAAGATATGAGACCAAGCCTTGGACGGCAAGTTTAAGTACCTTACCCTCTATCATGGTTGTTAGTCTAAGCTAGAAAGGAGTGATATCTGAATGATGAGACCTTACCAAGTTTATTTGGAGGCGGGGGTAGTATTGATTGCGCTGCTGGTGGGGGCGTGGGAGCTGCAGAGGGAGGGGCTACAGCCTCGGAGTCTCCCTTGCCTGATCTTCCAGATTTGATGGATGCCGTATCGTCTGCTGCTGTAGTAGACGAGAGCTTCAATCTGGCAGGGATACTGAAATACGATGACCTTGGTGCTGCTACATCTGGAGTAGATGGATGATCCCCATTCTCTTTCGCTGGGGTACCAGGTACTTGTTCCTCCGTCGGGGATGTTTTGTCCTCGCCCTCGCCGTTCTGTTTGGTTTCCTCCACCGGCGATCCGTTCTCTTCGGATTGTATGATTTTGCCTTGGGGTGGCTCTTCATCTACTTCCTCCACAATTTGGTTGGAAATTTCACCAGCAACTGCCGGAGGGTATAGTCTGATAACTCTGGCTGGCGGAGCAGCTACCTTGGCGAAGAGGTCCATCGAATCCCGGAATTTTCCCATAGAGAATAACTTCTCTGCCTTCAGCATTTGGATTTCCTTAATCCGCTCCTCTTTTTCTACAAACAGTGCCTGCTCAATCTGCTCCAAGATACTAATTGCTTCGTCATATTCACCCTTTGCTGTCAATTCCTTAATCTGAGTCCCATAGTCCACCAATACCATTTTCCATATCTGAGTCGGAGATGCCAGATAAAATTGTTTTCCGGCATGAGACAGAGCATGATTATGCTGGGGTGTGTGAAGGAGAGTTGCACCAGGTAGTGTGATAGTCTGCATGAGGTTCTGGGTGTCGGGATTCCGTATCTGCAAAGTGTGATGGGGATGTAAAGATACAAGGAAAGGATAGGAGTATCCCAGCTGATCGGGGGCATGGCTCCAGGGTATTTGTTTTGATTCAAGAGGGTCGCCTCTGGCGGATATGTACATTGAAGTTGCTAAAGTCGCGGGTTAGTTAAGCCACCTATCTTAACCCTAGGTGCTTGAATTTTTGATACTCACAGTCTCTGACGAGCAGTAGTTCGTCGTCGCCTAATCTTGTGGCCAATGGATTGCGGGTCGACCAGCTGAGATACCCTCCAGCACCTCCTCCACCGCCAGCCATAGGAATATCTTCAACGACCTCGGTATTCACGTCCACCATAGCAAAACTACTCGATAACCCGGCGCATATTTTCCCTTCAGCGGCCCAAGTTAGACTTCTAGGCTGTGATGGCAACGTAATCTCATTCGAGTCATGAAACTCCCCATCTTTCCATAAGTACAGCAGCAGCTTTCGCTTCACCACTACCGCCAACCTCGAGACAACTGACGGAACACCAGAAATATCCCTTTCCACGCCACTTGTCAGCGCGAACAACGTAGCGCCTCGGGTTTTCGACAAGGTTTCCAGCTTCTCATAGGTCGCCATATCGTAGGTAGATACATAGCTATCGGCCAGTATTACTAAGATCGAAGACTCTTTGATACACCCCATCTGGTTTATCGGACGTTTTGTAAACCCCTCAACCTCACGCAGACATTCAATGTCGATTGCCTCCGTCGGAGTTGTAGGGTTTGAGACTCGGTAGATACGTAACGTGCCATTGTTTAAGCCGACAAGTAGCTTCTCGCCTGCGAAACGAGTCGGGAGTTAGAGTCAGTCATATCAACCGTATATCCAAACAACAGCCCCTAAAAAGGGAGAAGCGAAGGAATGAAATTAAGAATATACCATAGGCTAGAATGCACTCCTGACGCGACCTATCCTTCGGACCTAGCTCTCGAATAGAGCGAGCATGAAAGGCGGTGAGCATGGCTCCTTGCGCCTGAACAGGAGTACCGTCGATTCGGGGATTTTCATGGATAGGCGGTCCAGGGCAGCATCGGAAGAGGTGACAGGTTTGTGGTATTTACGTGTTTGATGTTGAGGAAGTTGAAGAGGAAGAAGAGTGTCTGTTGATGCAATGTTGGGAGGATTTGGATGAGTCCAGTGCTGGCGATGCGGGTTGACCTCATAGTGTCGTCCCCACAACTCGCTCGGCTGACCTCGCCAGCAACACGCCTGGCAGTCCGACGCAATGAAGGTTACAGAGACTACCTCACCGCTGTCATTGCAACCCGGCCCGATTTACTACATGCTTAGCCTTGAAGTCCCGTATCTAGGGCATCATTGTTTCTCCAGGAGATGTTAGGTAGATTACTCTATGGGTTCCTTCAACCACAAGGTGGATTTGTCTTGAAACACACCAGCATTTAATAAGATAATTCTCCACCCCATGTAGGCGGTGGAACTGCTCTAACCGAGTCTACCTGGATAACAGGTGGAAATTCGATTTATATGGCACTGGGCTGCTAATTATAAATCTTCAGCAGGTACAAAAGGCCGGTTTGTTCGAAATACAAAGAAGTTCGAGTTTTAGAGAGTGTATGAGCTCCGGCAACATCTAAAAGGCCTCGATCGATCTAAACGTGGTGAAACAAGCGAAGATCTCCCAGCTTAGGCTTTGCGTTGATAGCAGTCACTCTGACTGGAAACCCATCACGCGGGCACCTTCCAGACCACAGGAAGGCAGAGATCGTTATCCTTGTGGAGCTTACTGTCACCCAGATCTTGATGGATAGATCTTTGGATCTTGCTTTTCGAGATTTATTCAACTGCCGACTCACATCTGTCGGCTATATAATGCGGTTGCGGATCTGGCAAGATAAAGGCTGAACTGGTTACTTTCATACACATCCCATGTCATCGCAACCACGACCACGCTCTCCAGCGTTCAGACTTCCGATGCCCGGCTCGGCAGCATCGTCATGGCCTACATATAAGGCTCGTTTCTCAACGCTTCTAAATAATGTTCGTAGTTCTTTCGCCGGAGCCGATCCAAGGGTTTGTGCTGCTTTTTGGCTGTTCGGTAAGTTCGATCACAAAGCTAAGGGATTTTGTCGGGGAGGAATTTAAGTCAACTATTTCGTTAAAAGAAGTATCGCTAACAGGGTGGGCCTACTAGGATTGATAAATAATGTACTCTACGTTATCATATTATCTGCGGCACTAGATCTCGTCGGCCCTGACGTGCCAAAAGGCGTCGTATTGCTATTCGATGTCATGCCTTCGTTCCTGACGAAACTTATGGGGCCATACTTTATACATCTGATATCATATCGAGTCCGTATTATCAGCTTCTACTTACTTTCGACATGCGGAATGATAGTGGTGGCATTTGGGGATTCCATAGCATGGAGACTGTTCGGTATCGCTATAGCGTCTTTAGCTTCTGGGGGCGGGGAGATGACGTTTGTGTCCATGACACATTTTTACGACCATTTCTCTCTAGCGATGTGGGGTAGCGGAACCGGTGGTGCTGGTATTGTTGGAGGCGCTTTCTATCTGGCATTGTCGACTTGGATCGGGTTGAGTGTGAGGAGTACCTTGATGTTAAGTTGTTTTCTACCTATTGTTATGCTAGTGGCTTTCTTTGGGATTTTACCGAGGGATGCGCTTCCGGCCGGGGTGGAGAGGGAAGGGGCGAAAGGTACTTATGCGAGTGTGCCTGGGGAAGAAGAGCAAGGGCTTATGGAGGGGGAGGATGATCCGATGGTAAACTCAATGCATTCGAATGGATCAGTTTTCACGGCCGGGGGTATGAAGGGATCAGCGATTGGGAGGGCGTGGAGGTCTCTGAGAAACAATCTTAGGCGGATGAAAGGGCTGGTAATACCATATATCATCCCGCTTCTACTGGTTTATATCTCGGAATATACGATTAACCAAGGAGTGGCGCCGACACTGTTGTACCCGCTTAACGAGATGCCGTTCAGAAACTATCGAGACGCTTACCCGACTTACAATACGATATACCAAGTCGGAGTATTTATTTCACGAAGTAGCACGCCGTTTATTAGGGTTCGGTATCTATACCCTCCTAGCATCCTGCAGTTCGCGAATTTAACACTATTGACGGCACATGCGGTTTGGAACTTTATCCCGAATGTTTGGTTTATATTTTTGATTATATTTTGGGAGGGTATATTGGGAGGGCTAGTTTATGTGGTGAGTACCTTTATGCTATATTATCCGTTTTGTCTACGATATTTCAATTGCAGTGTGCTAATTGTGGGATAGAATACTTTTGCGGAGATAACGGATAATGTACCGCACGAAGATCGCGAGTTTAGCTTGGGCGCTACGACAGTGAGTGACTCGGGTGGTATTTGCATTGCGGCGTTTATTAGTATGGCTTTGGAGACTTGGTTATGCTCGTATCAGGTGCGACATGGTAGAAAGTATTGCAAGTTGACGTGAACTTGACAACATATTCAAGTATCCTGAGACCGAGACGAGTCTCAAGACCATTGATCGGTGTGCGAGCATCTGCCCCGAGACTATCCAGGCTGAGAGCTCAACTATCGATATATCAACCAACCGTCTTCTAGAATTCTGCAGTCTCTACATCCAGCCAGCTTAGTTTCACGTCATCTGCATGTATATTACCATCTCTAAATTGAAACCTACAACTTCTAATATACAAAAGAATCTTTCGCAAGCTCATAATATACGCCTTTTAATTTGAACCGTAATCCAACCGCTGTCATCAATGTCGAATGAACGCTCACCCATACAACATTAGCACAGTTGCCTGCCCTCTGCGGACTATAATATTCAATTAGTGCCTCCTCAAAGTTTACCAAAGACAAAATTTCGTGAAGATAGTCACCGACGGTTCTATTTTCACTGATCTCGGGGAGTTTCGAAAAACTGGTATAGGCCTGATTTCCATTCTCTGTGGTATATGAGGTCTCAGTCGCTGAGATATTGATCTTGTCACCTTCGCCCTCTGTGTATCGAACTAATGGTTCGTTTTTAAAAAACGAATAGTCGAAGGGTTCTATGAGTTTACATTTGGGGTTTATCCATCTCGTAGATGGTAGTGTCGGAGGGTGGTTACTAGAAACCCAATGGCCGCCCCACCGGTCTCGTGGATCTTTTAGTTGGATTGTTCCAGGATAGAAGTTCCCGCTACCGCCGCGTACAAAGGTTTCTAAGTATTCTACGATTCTGTGTACTCGCGGTCGGGGTCTGTTTTTCAAGATTGATGATTGCCAAGATTCTTCGTAGAATCTATTGTAGTTTTCGTAGTGAGATTCGAGAATGGTTGGGGATGTTTTGAGGAAATGTCGCCAGAGTTTGCAGACACGTGAGAGAGTTGGGTGGTCTGTCCAGTCTGTATGCTCAAGGATATGGAAATGTATTTCGGCGGGGAGGATGGGGAGGGGTTTGTTATTTGGAGGGGGCGGGTGGATAAACTCTGGGGCTTGGTAGGCCGTGTTGGATGATGTTGGATTTTTTGTCAGATCCCAGTCGGGGTCAGACCAGGAATCTTCAGGTTCTGGATCGGGCTTTGGGGCCGATGATGGCCATAAAAGGTTGAGAAACTTCATCATCATGGAAATAAACTGCTTTTCCAATTTCGAGTTTAAAGAGTTGACCGGGTTGAAGTTGCGGGTTTGTAAGTTTATAAAAGTTGTGTGATAGACGTGTAACTCGCGGTAGCTTCGAATCCAGGTGAACTTGCGGCCAGAGTTACCTTATAATTTGATGACGCATGCATGGGAAAGGTTTGACTTACGACAAGGCTGAAGATAAGATCCTCCACGTTGGTGCTTTTCCAGGCTTGTTTTGCTGATAGTGAATATTGGGGCTAACCAAACATCGTATTCTGGTATTCGCCCCGCAAATATCCAGGATCAGTCTGGGGTCTTGGTTCCACGTTGGTCGCATGGTCTAATTAGCGTGGTGTCTCTGGTTGCCGTCGCACAGTTCCAGTCGTTAACATTGCATCGCTTGTAACCCAAGGGGAGGTGCGACCAACCAGGTTCATTGTTAAATGTTCGATGGTATTATCCTCCTGACAGCATAGTAAAAGGGATTGGGTTCAAAGGATATAAAGGCTTTTTGTAATCGAAACAGCAGTGCATCGTCGGATGCAATCGGCCTGCTCCTGCTCCGTTTGGCTCAGGTCCGAATTCTTTCAGTCGGCTGACATGGGTCAAGATTCCCCTTGCCCGTCTCTCCTTTGGCAGTCGTTTCCAGAGCAGTTTGCCGGGTCCCAAAGAACTGGATCCAAGATCGAAATTGGCAACAGCCTTGTTTTATATGGTGGGGTACATGCTCGAATCTACCACAAACCACTTAGTACAGTTGCTCAAAAATAAAAAATTCGTGGACTCAACCGATACCGATGAGGTTCAGGACTAGTCGCTTTGGAGGTACCGAAGTGGTGTTCACATCCTCCAAAGCAGCGCTAGTGAAGGTTCGTGATATTGTATCTTGTCTGTTAGTACCAGGTAGTTAGGTAGATGAGGGCACTTAACGCGTAGTCAAGTGAAAGGGCGGAGTGGGCTCCCCATGGGCCCCATACCAATTGGAAAAACACGCTCCCAGCAACCAGAGCTTCTCCAACGCACTCTCCCTCCTTCTCCGCCCAATTGTCATCTTCCCCAAACCTCTATCCTCATCACCATCCTTCTCCTATCTTCTCTTTGTCATTGCTATCTCCAGCCTCTTCTCCCTCCCTCCCTTCCTTTCAGAGGCATAAAGCTTCCCTTCTCTTTGCGACAAATAGTTTCTACCGTTTCTTTGTTATCAATTACAAACAACACACGTTTTGTTCTGCGCAGCTGCTTTGCATACTGCAGAACTAAGCCTAGCTCCTTTTGTTCAAGATACGGCCCAGAACGTTATAAATATCTAGCTGGGTTTCTTTGTTTCTTTATAGGTAGGAGTTTTTTGATGCCTAGCCTGTGGTATTCTTAAATAGAGGGCGCCTGACCTCTAAATTCTAACTAGAAAAAAGAGTATCTTGTCCAACTATAGTGCCACAATGTCGATGAGGAAACGTCGGTTGACGATTGCTCCGGGGGATGATGAAGCAGGGCCTTCAAGAAGACTTCGACTCTCTAATGTTAGAAGTACAGAGGGCATGGATTCTGGTCCTGGTAGCCGCTCGTCTCCGTTTCAGCCACCGACTACCAATACAGGGACAAGAGGATCCGGATCTACACAAAACTCCTTTATGGTTGATAGTTCGATGCCATCGGAAGAAGACCCAAGTGAAATGCTGTCCCTCCAAAAGCCTTTGTTTGACCCTTTGATTATGAATGTTTTTTTCCCTCCAAGACTACCAGACAAAGCTCTTGAAAAGTCAGTGCAGAAGGAAGCAGATCATTTTTTGCTTACTCTACTTGCGCAGGCCGCTGATGATTTTGGAGAGACTCTCACGTTACAACAACATCCCTGGTGGAAGAGAGTCCAAAAGAATCTAACCACATTGGTTAGATTATATAAGCCTGATGAAGAGCAGGCTTGGTTGTCTAAAGAGAAACTAATTGACGCCTTGACTGGTATGGAAACTGGAGGTAAGTCCACACCCAAATAATAGTAAATATTATCAACTGAATAACTAACCAGCTCTTGGTAGATTTTATTACCCTGTATATCCGCAAGCAGAACGCTGGTATTGTTATTCGAAAGAAAGAAGAAGAGGCCATATTTGAATCGTTCGAGGCTTCTTGCCTTGCCGACGCTGTCTCCGAATGCCGCCGAAGGTTAAGATGCTCTTTCCCCGGACCCAGTATTGCTACGAAGCTTAGCTCTTTTGAAGACGAACGATTTATCGACTCCCTTTCGGAGTACCTGTCATTCACAGATGGTAGTGCCGCAGATAATACGGATGGTAAAGGTGGCACCGTTAATGATACCGGTGCAACAAACCCATCATTCATTACTCACCTCCTTACAAATATAATCCGCGGAGTTGGGCGCCCCGATAACGCTCGGGAGTCGAAGATCTGCAAACGTGTGGGAGATTCTGTTCTCGGAGCTGAATCGTCAGTTTGGAGGCGGTCTCCACTATGGTTGGTTGTTAGAGTTGGTCTACAATCCACTTTGAAACTTGAAACTCGACATCAGGTTGACTGGTACAAATGCTTTCAAGTCTATTTTATGTCGAAGATTCTCCGAAAAGCTTTGGATCAGGATTTAGTTACTCAAGATATTTTATACATCATGGGTGCAAAGATTGCAAGGCGGCGGCAAAAGTTGAGTGGGACTGTTCCTGAGTTTGTTGGGTCAGAGGTAGCGTCCACCGTTGAGCTATTGTCGAAAAAGTTACACCGACGCTGGAAGCAGTTCTACAACTTAAACGTGAAGCAAATATCCTGGAGCCCCGGGTCTCTGGAAGCCGCTACCGACTGCAAACTAAAGCTGGCTACGAGTCGGGACTACTTGGCCTCAGTTATGGATGGTGAGACCAGTCTAACCTCATCTGAGCTCACTCAACGACCTTTCATTCCGGGGAAATATTTTCGTATCACGGATCCACTATCACTGAAGGAGGGCCTTTTAAAGGCGGAACTATTGAGTACCCCTAAGAAAGACCTCGCGGTCTTGCTGATGGATATTGAATCCTGGGTAGACACTGGTATTGATGCATATGCCACCCTCTATCAGCGACGGCTTGACGACCCTGATTTTCAGCGAAGTCAGAAGGATGCTGTCATACAACTTGGCCAACTTTTCAACGACTACTTCCGTGTCGCAATTCAAGAATACGAAGGGAATCCTGAAAATCTCTCAGTCGCATTTCTGACTGGATTTGAGATTTGGGTAGCTATGGACAAGATCGCAACGTCCTGCACCCCCCTTCTAGCAAGATACCATCCCGAGATTCAAGGGAAACACCTAAACAATCTTGTACTTCCCTCAAGACGACAGATGGAACGGCTTGCAGCCGTTCAAACCCACATCATGGATCGTGCAGCCAAGGCGACTGTTTCAAAACCTACCCTATTTAAGGACAAGTTTTTCGAAGCGTCATTTGCATGTTTGTATTTCGACCAAGAACCCTACCTTCAAGACCTACTTGAGAGTGTCAGAGAAGCTGCAAATGCGGCTAGAAGGGAAATGTGCTCTAACCTGAAGGAAACCAATCATCAATACCATTCAATAATGATGGAATACCACCGGATGGATCATGAACTCACACCAACCGGACGCCATCGAACGCAAAAGAAATGTCCTAAGTGCCTGAAGGAAAATGAGGCGAAATGTCTGACAGTGGGAATTCATGAATGGTAGGTTGCTTTCTTTCCTCCAGCTCTTCCTTAGCGAAGTTAGAGCCACATAAAATCCCTAGGAATGGCCGCTAACAAATACAGGCCCCTCCCTGATAAGGACGAGGATGATGCAGTAACAAAGACTATAATTTTCGAGTTGGATTGCCCAAAGCACTTTGTGGCATGGCGAGACACTACATTTAGAATGTTGATCAACACCTCTGCAATTCTCCAGTTCTCTGAGACGCACCCTGAGACCCGAGCCCAAGAGAAACTTTCGACCTACATAGGGCTTCGTGATTTCTATCAGGACGAGAGAACGGCGGGGGTTGTATTAGCGTCACAAAGGAAAGCCACTGGAAGGCTTGGTGGAGTCAAAGTTGATCTCCCGGCAGAAGAAGATCAAATTCTCGTCCCGTTTTCATTCCGTCCTCGATATTGGTACGGTGATACCGCCGGTGGGCATTGGGTATCCGATTTCTTCAGGCTCAAAGGCACCTGGGATAAAAGGATGTTTTCTTACAAGCTTCCGAATTCCAGCGTTTATAAGCCACTCCAGTTCTCTCTTAGAAGATCGGATCATACCAGCAATGAAATCTTGGCTCTTCAGAATAAATGTCATCCGAGGCTTTCGTTGCATGAGTTCTATGAATACGGTACCCTTCGGTACGGTCTCTTCCTAAGCTGATAGTTCTAATGTTTCTCAGGGACTGATCTAAACATGCTTCTAATTTAGTGCCGGGCATAGACTCCAATGGATGAATATTGCGAAAGGATTGAAGGCTCGGTCACTCAGCTTAGACAAGAAAGAAGTGAGCTTTCTCATACTCCAAGCTTCTTGGGAGGCCGGTCCGGTAGTCAGGGGCACTAAGCACATATTCCTCCGAGATAACCATCGTTCATTCGATAGAACTTCGGTCATCCTTGATATATTGGATGTAATAGAACATATTGTTGCCTCCATTAAAACGAATTGGCGCGAAATCGTGATAGCTACAACCATCATTGCTCTTACTTGTCGATGCCTGGCGTTGATAAAAAAGGACCAGCAAGCTGCTATAACCCAGGCCAGTGGTTTGGTTCTCAAACTGAGAGAAATGGTGTACGGCTGGATTGAACAGTTGCGAGAGAAGATCAAATTAGAGCAAGAGGAAGACAGACTTGCGGAGAAATTGCAACATTTGATGCACTGTGCTGCGATCTGCCGCATGACGTATGAGGTGCCAACCAAACGCGCGCGGGATCTCATCGATGGATTGGTTCCGGGAGAGGATTTGGATGGCCGCTGCGACCCAAAACATATTTCAATATATCTTGAAACTGCTGCAATAATTCGTGATAATCTTCCTGCGAGACGGGAACATGTTGAAGATTATTTCCGCCATGCAATCGATAGGTCGAACAGATTATCACACCGTTGGGAAACTAGAGTGCGAGATTTCGTTCTTCATGATCCTGCGCCGATAGACCTTGCGGTCGAGAAGCAATGGCAACCCCACATGCGACAGGGAAACTGGGAATCCGCAGATGCCCTAAACGAACATTGGCTCCGCGCGATCACTCGCCCGGTATTGGGAGAAAGGGATGTCCAAGTTAGCTTAAATTTGCTAGATGGCCAAATACTTATTGATAGCATACCGTTTGGACGGCTGCCACAGGAATACGTTAGTCATCCAACTTACGACCGAATCTTCGGTAGCGAAATCCTCACTGTAGGGCCTTCGTCCTTGAATGGCATGCAGTTTGAAACAAGGTTTCCGATTGAGGGCCATTCAGTCCATTTCGCTTTGAAGGGAGAAAGCCTTATAATTCGGTCCCAGAAAGAAAGAACCATCTACGAACTTGTCCCGCATAATCGCTTTGGGGGCGATTTATGCAACTCATTAATCGATGATTACACGCACTGGTTAGACCAGAATGGTTCGACCATCCAGTTTCGAAAACTTGGGAGCAAATGGGACACTCAAAACTATGAGTGGAAATTGTTCCTAAGAGACAACGGCCCAACTCTATCCCGTTTGGAGGATTCCCGCGTTCTCGTCGTCGACCCTAATAGTAACACTGCGAACCAAGTCAATCAGATCCTCGGCTGCCTCGAGGAGAAATCCCATATCTTGATAACTGCCACGCAAAACGAACAGAGAGAGAAGATAATACTTGTAGATCTTGCAAGATTAAACCTTAGATTCTCAAGCAAGAATGATAACTTTGTTTGTCGAAACTTCTCGGGTTTTATTGTCGATGAGGATCAGGACATAGGGTGCTTACATGGTTTAGCCAACAAGCTGGTACTTCGCAAAGGTGATGAGCGTATGGCTTTAATACCGTTCGGGGATATTCTGTTAAAGAGATATGATGACTTTACACAGGTTTCAGTTAATCGTGCGGAGTCATATCAAGCATATACCGTCGATAAATGCCTCGGACGACTGGTTGGGAACGGATCCATCACTAGTCGACTTTATCAGCTGTATTTACATGCAGTTACTTCGTCGCCGTCATGTCAAGTCGACAATCTTACAGGGAGAACTGGTACCGAGGAAGCCGCAAGTTTACTAGCATCAGGGGCAGTTAAGTCCTTTCAAGAACTTGACAAAGTCGATATCCAGCTTTTGCACCTTATTGCGCATCTAACGCCACATCGGGCTAGGAGCATCTCTAGAAGAGACACTCGAAAAGAAAATGAAAAGAATGTTGCCAAAAATGCAAGAATCGAAACCGTTGTATGGGAGGATCACCTGTCATTCAACTGCCAAAGAGATATCTTTCGAGTCGGTGCCGCCCAAGTCATCGAATACTGGATGAAAGCAAAGAAATTTCTCGAAACCGATAAAATTTCAGCCGAAGACTTTATTCAGAATGATGAGCAAGATGAAGGTGATGCAGCGATCGAGACTGGAAAAGAAGACAAGAGAACCGAAGAAGGCGTTAAGAGGGGCGACGAATTGCTTCTTCGCCGTGCCGCCTACCGTAACGAAATTTTCTATGCTTTTTTGGAAAATACTTGGGGGGATGTACGTGATGGGGAAACCTATCTAGAAGATAACGATGAAGATATCGATATGCTAGTTTCCAAAGCTATGCCCGCTCCTATCGAAGATATGAGCTATACCGGTAAGAATCATTGCAACCAGATGCTTGCCTTACGATCATAAAGCAGAAATCTAATCCTCAATCCTAACAGCTCGTGACGGGACGATAGAAGATGAAGAAGACAAAGGCCCCCAAGTGTGCCATCTTGTAAGGCTTCTCCTGAAATGGAAAACGGGGATGGGTCCGCCAAATCTCTGGAGTGCATTCAGCAGCTACACTGTAACAGGTGTCAAAGGAAGTAATAGCTCCGTCAAATTACAAATGAATGACGCCCTACTTAGGCGATCCGCAGGAGAGATTTGGTGCGCATTATTCCAGCTGTGTCGAAATGCCTCGAGGAGAGATGATACTTTTAAACTTATCTTCACATTAGGCACACTGATGTATCGAGATGGGTTCGATCCAGGCATGGTACATGCTCTTGCGGCAGCAGCAATTCTACCCGCCTTCCGAGATGAGCAGTTTGAGATACCATCAGGCCACTATGATATAAAACAAGGTTATCAACTGGTTCCCAAAGAACTCGAAAAGGTCATAAAGGGTTTTACACGGCCATTTGAAACCAGCCGCTTCTATGGAATCGCTGCGAACCCTCACGAGAGTGTACAAGGGGCCAACTCACGCAGAAGAATAGCCTACAATGAAGAGTCTGGCTTCCAACGATTAACGTTGAAGCAACATTACGAGGATCAGTGGGAGACTGCTCGACCAGTGCGACCCGCAAATGCTCGTAGATTTAATCTCGTCGAACTGGAAGACACCCACAATGCCATAACGAAATATTTCGCCAAAATATCTCGGGTCTCAAAATTAAAGAAGGCTATCGACAAGATACAAAATTTTCTGACGAATCACCTCGACGAAGATGCCAGTGCTCAGCCGATCTATGTCTTTAGTACTTTCAGGGAGATCAAGCGCCGGGATAAAGAGCCCGTCACAGTAGAGGATATTATGGAAAATGTTTCGGCGCCTGTCTTGGACTCGGTTCGAGACGCCCCTACGACTTTCACGAAGGGCGGACTCTCAGCTGCTGAGAATGTTCAGGTCGTACAGCCGACTCTACGATTAACTCAACTTCAAAGCCTATTCCGAAATTTAAACGGGCCTCGATGTAGCCAGTTCCAAAAAGTATATGCTGAGGATCTAAAACAAAGCGTGGAGGCTCTAAAGGCCTTTCAGGGCAATACTGGTTTGAGAGACCTACCGCTGACACTCGACACCATCAGAGAGCACGCTTTACTATGGGAAGAACATGTTCGCATCCTGGAGAATACGATTCGGACTCGACTTGAACCGATTTACTTTGGAAACCGGATTAGAACCGTTGAAGGACAGGAAACCCTGTATCATGCTGGACTTTGGCCACGTATTACCATCTTCTCCCTACTTAGACGTCTCTCACACCACACTGTGGAGATACCTGAGGGGTGGAAAAGAGCTATTGTGGGTTATGGGACCGCCCTTCGAGAGTTGGGGAGAGCGAAGAGACTAGTCAACCTTGCAACTCGTGGAGAAGTTCAGAGCTTTTGGGAGACTCTTGCCGACACAGATACCCCAAGATGGGATCCAATGGATATGCCAGAGTGGTTGCTACTTGAGTTGGAAAATAACTTTTGCATGCGTGATGTATGTACCCAGTTTTTGATTTGGTAAGCTAAGGCAGCTCGGTGGCTAATGAACAATAGGTCCAAGCCGAAATTGCGAAAGAGATGATCAGCCCTAGCTCAGGAAGCTCATCCGTAATGCAGCTGAATATGGGTGAAGGAAAATCGTCGGTCATTATCCCGGCTGTAGCTACGACTCTTGCAGACGGCACAAAACTAGTCAGAGTTGTAGTTTTGAAGCCGCTCTCTCGCGAAATGTTCAACCTACTCAGATCAAAGCTTGGTGGGCTTTGTTCTCGGAGAATATACTTCCTGCCGTTCAGCCGAGGATTGGACATTACAGTCCGAGACGCCCAGTTAATCAAATCGATCTATGAAGAGGTATGTACCATTTCACTTTTTTTTGAATAATTTTCTGTTTGGACATTGACTGACTGACTGCATTCCAGTGTATGGCTGATGGCGGTATTCTTCTCGTCCAAAATGAGCATCTTTTGTCATTTAAGTTGCTGGGGCTCGAAAAGATATGCATGGAAGAAGATGAACCATACATCGGGCCAGGGCTACATGAAACGCAGAAATGGCTTGACAAAAACGCCCGAGACTTACTGGATGAGAGTGGTATGCTGTTTATTTTTGCCTTCATTTCATGGATATTCAAAACTAAAATCTAACTTGAATTCTTAATTAGATGAGATTTTGCGCGCAAATCACACATTAGTATATACTGTCGGAACCCAACAGCCAATGAACAACCAGCCCTACCGTTGGTTAGATCTCCTGAAGGTATTTGACGTTGTCAAAAAACAAGCTTTAGAACTTCAACCCAGATTTCCACAAGGATTCGAGATAGAATCCAAGAGCGCGAACGGTTTCCCATACCTCCGGATCCTGCAACCTAAAGCTGCTGAAGCTTTAACAAAAGCTGTTGTTGCAGACCTTCTTTTCAGTGACCATCCCGACCGCCAGTGGTTTGCGACAGTGACACCGGAGCGAAGGAAAATGATTTCGAAGTTCGTCACAGACAAAGAATTCCCAGAGGAAGACATCGCCGAGTTAAAGCAAACTCTACGAGGTGGGCATATGTTTGCTGCAGCCTTGTTATTCCGCGGGCTATTCGCCTATGATATCATGAGATTCTGCCTCCAGGAGAAGCGATGGAGAGTAGATTATGGGGCGGACTTCGACCGTACCCTCCTCGCAGTTCCCTTCAAAGCGAAAGATACACCTAGTATCGCGAGCGACTTTGCGCATCCAGAGGTTCTTCTCTGTTTAACTTGTCTGTCGTGGTATAACTACGGTCTTAATTGGGGAGAAATCAAGGATTGTATCGGAGCTGTCAGATCCGTCGACAACCCCGAAGATGAATACTCTAGATGGATCGAAGACAACAATGATTTGCCCGGACATCTGAAGTCCCTTCAAGGTGTAAATCTCGATAACCCTGATGGTTTCGAAAGCTTTCTTTGCCCGGCGCTCGAATTGAACAAGAAGGTTATTGATTTCTACCTCCAGACCTTTGTTTTTCCGAGATTTTCGAAACAGTTCCCATACAAGCTCACTAGTTCTGGATGGGATGTTGTAGAAAAGAAAGCCAATCTGACATCTGGGTTCTCGGGTACAAATGATAACAAATATCTATTACCTTTATCAATCCGACAGAAAGACCTTGATACGCACAAGCATACCAATGCACTCGTTCTAAACTACCTTCTCGCGACAGAAAACAACCACTTTGTGCGGTCTTCAAAACCCCGCACGCGCGAGAAGTTGCCGGTATTGGAACTATTAGACTCAATCGTTACGCAGAATCCACCGATATCAGTGATCCTTGATGTCGGTGCGCAGGTTCTAGAACTAAACAACGAAGAGGTGGCTAGAGAATGGCTCTCTCGGGCTTCTAGAGCCGATTCTGAGCGATGGCAAGCTGCTATTTTCTTCAACCCCAAGGACGAAATCTGCGTGGTTGACCTTTCCGGGAGAGTAGAGCTCTTGATGACTTCCAATTTTGCGAAGCAGATGGAAATTTGCCTCTGTTACCTTGATGACGCCCATACTCGTGGCACTGATCTACAATTCCCTTTAGGAAGCCGGGCCCTAATCACACTAGGACCCAAGACGACCAAGGACCGGTTGGTTCAAGGCGCCATGAGAATGAGGAAGCTCGGAAAGGGCCACTCTGTCGTCTTTTGTGCGCCACCCGACGTTGAAGCCCAGATACTTGCTATTTCAAACGGTAAAAGTAAAGTCGAGAATGTTGATGTTCTGAAATGGGCTCTGCGAGAAACATGTAAGCAGACAAAGCGAAACGCAGAGCTTTGGGCCGCCCAGGGCGTCAATTACGCGCAGCGACTCGTGGCACGGACTGACTATGAGCGAATGGCAGAATGGAACATTCTCAGAAACCTTTTGTTCGAACAAGAAAAAATGTCATTGGCTGACCTCTACGACTTGAAGGCCTCGCCGAACGAGAGTTACATTGACAAGATGACACGTCTTAACATTGCGAGTCATCCGATTGTCACTGAGATTATTGGGCATTGTAGGATTTTTGACATTCAAAATTTCGATGCGCTTACAGGGGAACTAGATGAAGAGCAAGAGCGCGAGGTCGAACAAGAAGTCGAAAAACAACGACAAACCGAGCTGCCCCCACCCGCTAGGCCTTTGCTGCATGATCTTCATAAGGACATTGTTAAGTTCGTACAGACAGGCAACCTACCAAAAAAGTCCAAAGCTGTGGAGCCCGCCATAACTTCTTTAAGAAGAACATCAATCAGAGAACAGATTCGGCCAGGGTCATGGTCAACGAAACTACTTGTATCCCAGGATTTCGCTCACACTGTTGAGATTTCGACAAACCTTGAGGGAGGCCGTCAGATAGATTATCAAGACAATTTTGTTCGTCCAGTCTCCTTCATCCTGAGCTGCGTGAAAGGGAACGTCAAAAAAAAGATCACTCTCTTGATAATCAGCCCTTTCGAAGCGAACGGGCTACTCGACAAGATCAAAGCTTCCCCCTACGTCCATCTACATGTATATATGCCCAGGGTAACGAAATCCATGCCCTCATTCGAAGATTTGAGATGGATGAATGTTGGAAAAACATATAGCCGCTCCTGGAGCCTCCCCTCCGCTCTTTTGGATCAATTGAATCTATTTGCAGGTCAATTGTATTTCCGACATGCCACTGCATATCACCACACTGCTGAATGGCTTAGCTTGAGGACACCTGAATTGCACCCTACATCTGAATGGTTTGAAGACGGATTTGTTCCTCCTGGCCATCGTCAAAGAAGGGATGGAGAGCCTTTCAAAAGCACTTTCAAGACCTCACCAGTTCCCTGTATGCAAGGACTTGTGGCAATACGAAGAAAAGGGATGAAAAGTGGCCTAACGCAACTTGGACTACTGCTGGATGGTAAACTAATTCATGCCGACCAATTCGACGAGGCCGATGAGGATGTCGAGAAAATCTGGGGGGAAGATGCGGTCAGCGCGGACGAGTCCGATACCGCCGACTACATCAAGGAAGAGGTTGAACCTTTGGAGCGTTCCGCGGCAGCCACCCTACGAGCCCAGCAGCAGGCTTATACTCCAATGGAAGTCGACGAACAAGATGGGGCTGATGGAGTCCAGCCCGAGGCCGCCGGTGAAGCAGGAGAAGACTACGACGACAGCAGCACAGATGATGGGCTCCCACCAAATATCAAAGCAGAGTCCGGCGAGGAGTCAGATAACGACATAGACCAGTCAGTTTTCTATCGCGATTCTACTCCCATAGTTCCTACGGAAGATGGTGACAACGAAACCAGGGAAGATGGCACGGAGATCCAGTGGTGATATCTTATTGCCCTCGCGTTTCCATTCTCGTTTTACTTTTAGCTACGTAGCGCTTCTTTTTTTTTCTTTTTTTCTTTTTTTTTTCTCCCTTTATTAATCTCGTATTTAAGCCGCATATTTCTGTTTCCAAGGGCGTTACTACAGTTTCTAGAGGACTGTATTCAATTGCCTTTAAGTTTTAAACATCAACTTTACGGTAGTGGCGCACTAGGTAGCTTTTAGGTATCAATAATGGCTTTTGCACATCCAATGTCAGCTATTCCTACTCATCTCTGAGTTCATGAATCCATCTAAGATTTCGAAGGTATATGAATAAATCAGGAAGAACGCCGAAGGGGCTCCATAGCAGGGTATCATTGCATCATATATATTATACAAACTCCAATTCTTACATGTTCATCCATGACACATTATATATATATATATACTTGAGTAGTTATATTACTGTTCCTTCCCCTTCTTTCTCTTCTTTGCTTTCCCCTTCTCTATCCTCTCCTCCTCTTCCTCTCTTCTCAACTTCTCAAACTCAGCTTCCAAAGCCTTAGTCTCGTCGTCCATCTCCTCTTCAACCTCCCCATCCCTCTCCATATCCTCCGCAGCTTTCGCAGCACCTCCGTTCTTCGCCTTACCCTTCCCAACACCGCCCAAATCCAACGTCTCAGCCTTTTCTTCTTCCATTTTATTTGTTAGGAAGGCATTCATCTCCGATTGGGCTTGTTTAATAGCATCTCTTAGGGACTTTAGATGTGCTCTTGTAGCTGTAGATGATGGTGCTGTGTGGAGTGCCTCTGGCTGGGAGGATTCGGATGGATCATTATGGTGGTGTTTTGAGTGAGAAGTAGAGATTTGAGGGGTTGGTGGTGGGGGTAGGGGGATGGAGATATTGTGGGAGGTGGTTGTGGCGGTGAGGTGGGTGTATGTTACTGTTAATGTCGGGGGGTGGGTTGATGATGCCATTCTTTGGAAGGGGGGCTGATGGAGCGCCCTGTGGTTGAAGGAGTGAGGGTGTAGATGGTGGATGTTCACCTGAGTGAGAGGAGATGTATGGTTGGAAGGTGAAGTTGAAGTTGAAGTTGAAGTTGAAGCTCTCTCTGGAGCTTGGTGACAGGGGGGCCCAAATATACAACAATCTCAACACTATTTTTAGATTGGTTGATTGGCGGCATAAAAAAACGTGGACGCTGATGGTTAGTTGATCGGACAGGAAGGGTTTATCGGGGATTTGTAAAACCGACTTCTAGAATTATACCATGATGGTGTTACTTTTCTTAAGCTTGAGACCTAAAATTTATTATCTATGAAGATATATACTAAATTAGCAAGATCAGTCTACGAGGAGTAGAGTACACCCGATATCACACTGATATTTCTATCAAGTTGTTTGTGGTTTAATGTTGATAACAAGACAGATATCTGGTGAGATATATCAGATTACTCTTATCCAGCACTATATTAATGTCTAGAGGTACTATATAGCGATTCATAGTGCCATAGTTTTGCACCCAACCCCCCTTTCACCACCACCACGCTAAGCATCCACATGATCTGCGGCATCTGATTACCAAGGCTAAGGTTGACACTAGCCACAAGGTCACAAGGGCGGGCGGCAAGGTACCTTTCATTCAGAACCTCTTTTACCAGAATGGCTAGGTACCATCCGTTCCTAGATATTTATACAGTGAAAGATAAAAATTTTATAATTTCGACTAAAACTGGCAAGTACTAACAAAAATACAGGTCGTAATAGAAAAAAGGAGACGCTAGACAAGAAAATAAATACATGCACGTCATACACGCTAATTTTTATCAAAGCTTTTATCGAAGCCAGCTTTTTTTTTTGCTTTTGAGATCTCTCGTAACCCCCCCTCTTTCGTATTCCTCGAGGCATCCCGAGTCCAGGAGGTTTACCGGGTAACTGGGTAAACCGTCACAGGGGGATATCAAGCATACCTCCCGGTACCTGATTAACATCCCCCTGAGGAACCCGGTACTCGGGGAAACTCTTCGAATCGGAGAATTGATAAAAACCTGGGAAAAAAAAGAAATTCAAGGAAGTATAAGAATAACCAAAAAAAGAAATTCCCAGCTCCCCCACCCCCCTTTCCACTAAAAAAAGGGGGCCCCACGCACCACCACCACCGCCAATCCCGCCAGCTCATCGGTCCCGGCTAGTCTTGCCCAGCTGCTTATCCAGTTATTTCTGCATATAACCGTAGTGGGTCCAAAATATTCTAACTCCGGTGTTCCAAACCAGCGGGTTCATAGCTAGCGTTCCCGCAGATCGGCAAGATTGAAGATTGGCGGATATGCAAGGACACGAACAGGAGGCTTGCAGATTGGAAGCGGTAAGGATGTGTGTCTGTACTGGTACCTTTTCGAAGATAAAAGAAAATATAAAATATAATAATATAAAAAAAGAAAGAAGGAACGCGGAAATGCGAAGGTGCATAAAATTGCGGGAAGTCGCAGAAGCGAGATATATAAAAACAGTATCCAAGGATTCTTTTATAAACAAAAGAGGAAGGCTAGCTATAACTATCAAAACAAGAAGACCAAAAAAAAGCTTATTTCAACTGTATGAATTTGAGAAATTGAATGTTTTCTCCATGCGCATGCCGTTACCGTTATTTGTCGCTTCCCACCGTTGAATTGCCCCCTAACTTCCATTGAACGAAAAACACCTGCTCCATAACCACAGAAAAAAAGGACGAGGGGAAGAAAATCATAAATTGTTGTACAAAGGAAAACGAAGAGGGGTATCATTTTTGTATGAGTTTTTTTGGATGTTCGTAAATCCTTAGCCATTTGGGTTCTATGCATGACCGCGCGGTGAATCTCGGGGATCGAGATTTTTTTTAGAGACAGATGTCATAGCCGTCTTTTTAATAAGCGTCGACATCCTCATCATTCACGATTCTCAAGGTTTCTTCAAGAACCAATAAATCGCGTTCGATCATTTCCGCCCAGTTTTGGACATCGCCGATTTCCTATCATTTTCGCCTCAATCAGCTCAATTCTTACCCAAAATGCTCTATAGTCTTTATAAAAACTAAAAAAATTAAGGGTTTAAATGTTGCTTACCTTAAGTCTTCCTCGACCATTCTCAGCAAGAGCACTCCACTGCCTCGAAGTCTTATTCATAGCCTGCGTCCGCGACTTCAACTGCTTGCTCTGAGTTTCCAACGCATTTGCGTTTGAATGGATATTCGAGATTCTGTCGCGAAGATCCATGTCGAGGGATTCACCGAGAACGGTGATTTCGTGGGTAAGGTGCTTGCGAGCTTCGTCTGCGAAAACATGGGTGAACGATGTCAGTCTAAGTTTTTCGGCTAGAGTGGTTTTTTTTTGTTCCGGAGCTAGTTAGGGTGGGTGGTATAGGTGTTGGACTTACCAGCGCGACGGAGACGCTCGTTGCGGGCTGCTCTCTCTTCTTTGATCATACGGGAGGCCATTGTTACTTATTTTTTGAGAGATTAGGCGAAGAAGGTGCTGATGTTGATGATGGTGATAATGATGATGGAGGAGGAGGAGCGTGAAGTTGAAAAAAAAAGTGTGGCGTGTCCGGATGAGAAAGTTTATAGATGCAGATCTAAGGTTACACGTCCGTAACACCGAAAGTGGACAAGTTCCTCTAGCCGAGCTAAGTGGGAGCTTAAGAAGTTGATAATGTAATATATGTAAATAGCAGCGGTGTAGATATGTATGGTATGTATAATATATAAAGCTTTAAGCAATAGTGGAAGAAGCTCCAAGCTAGATAGTATAGAATAATATAATGTAGAACACAAACGTCAATTGTGAAGGCTGGACTACAAAGAAGAATATTTTCAGGAAAGAGAGAGAATCTCATCCTCTCCTCCTCGAGAGGGCATATTTATACCCCCCTAGGACACGGCAGACCCCCTCCTCCTCCTCGTCTTCATCCTTCTCTAGTCAGAAGGGACGAAAGGGAAAGGTCTGAACCCTAGAAAGGGAATGGTGGAGGGGGAAGGCTTGTAATCATAAGCCATTGATGAAGAAGGCATCCTAGGATCAGAAGAATATGGAAGGGGGGTGTAGGTAACAGCGAGTATAACCGGTATAAGGAATCCTTTTGCGAAGAACCGATTGGCTCAAGAGGGGGTTAGTGGAGAAGGATGAAAAGGAAAGTGGGCTAGGGTTAAGTTGTACAGAAGACACGGGATGGGATTTGCGAAATAGAGACACGACAATGGTTGGGATGGTTTATCCTTTTTTCTTCTTTTTCTTGTCAGCTATAGGGGGTATACGAAGTGCAGGCAAGATGGAAGGCCAACTTGCAAGGTTTATGTTGATATGTTGAAATGGGTTATAGCTACTTGGATTTTAGGCGCAAAGTGGGTATGGGGCTAGAGATCGAGGAAGGATTAAGAAGATCGTTCTGGGGGAGAAAGTATAAAAAAGAAATTAAAAGAAGATGGATTCGTGGATACCCGGATGGCAAAGATATCGAAAGAGAGATAGTGGAATATTGTAGCTGAGACTAGTCGCCCACCTCCATCACGATGTAGCAAGATGGGTAGCTCGAAGACGGCCAGCTGAACCAGATTGGAGAAATCCGATTAGACAGAACGGATTAGCTGATATTTCCTGAAGAGCTAGCATTTAATTGAGTAGCAGGAAGCTTCAATCGTGTCGGAAATAGAGCTCTATTAAGCTCAATCAAACATCGTGAAGCTCGACATTGTCGTCAGAAGATACAAAATACTCAACAAAAAGGTACTTATCGAATCCAACAACGTTCAAAATAAAATTTTGATAAGTTTATGTCGGTCCCTTGTCGATGAATTGTCCACGTCGTTGCGCATGCAAGCCTCGTTAGCTTATTCCGCTTTTAAAAAATTTTACC